ATAAATCAACATCCTTCCGACTATATCCTTCTCTTCAGAGAGTTGCATAAGTCATCAGGACTCTCCCCAGTGTCACCTCCTTAGAGAGATCTTCTCTAACCACCTGATATAAGACAGCATTTGCCCCCATCATACTCTGAGCACCTTATTTTGGTTTTCTATACAGTTTTTGTCACTATCCAATATTATATAATATCTGATATTCTATATTCTAGCTACCACAATCTGACATTGTATTATATGCATTATGAGATGCATATGTGTATGTGTCTGTGGATCTGTCTCTCTGTTTCTGTCTGTATTTATGTCTCCTCTTGCAGAGCCGACAAATTCTATGTGAATGTTACCCCTGCATTATGTAGTAGCCCTACACATTTGAATGTCCACTGTGTAAGGGCAGAGACTCTGTTATCTGTTTTACCAATATGACCCTAATCACTAGAATAGTACTAAAATGCAGTTGTGCTCAATAAATACTTATGGCTTAAAATATTTATCTAATGTATGTTAACCTGGAGAATGGTCTCTAGAGGTTACATGGCTCTGTCCTTGGCCCCATCCAAAATATCAACTCTGACCCAGATAAGGAGAAAGAAAATAAGAGAATTTATTCTGAGTCAATGTCAATAAAAACATTTATTAATATTAATATCATCATCATCATCACCACCATCCTCTACTATGCAATAGGCACTTACATTATTGTGAATGCTCACAACAAACCTAAAAGGTAGAAATTATTATTATCTTCATTTTTATTATAAGCAGACTGAGCTTGGGAAGTTTAAATAGCATGCCACATCAGATGGGAGGTACACAAAGCTGGAATTAAAAACTAAAATTTGTCTCACTACAAACTGCATGCTTTTTTTTTTTCAGATTTCATTTATTTATATTTTTTTTAGATGGAGGGGAAGGGAAGAAGTAAGACCGGGAGAGAAACCTCGATGTGCAGGAGAAACATCCACCAGTTCCCTCTTGCATACTCCCAACTTGGGACTTGGCCTGCAACCCAGGCATGTGTCCTGAATGGAATCAAGCCAGCAACCTTTTGTGTGTGGGACTACGCCCAACCCACTGAGCCACACCAGTCAGGGCTGCATACTTTTTAAAAAGAATACTGTGTAACACTTATGAAACATGGAAAACCTACTTAAAGCTGCAGCTGACAGAAAAACTAATACATTAGATGAAAAAATCAGGATTTTATAAGAGTTTAACAGATTTGAATGGCAGGTCAGAATTCAAAACCATATATATTAAGCATAAAAATAAAGTGCCATATGCCAATTTTAAGAATCAAATGCATAGGTATATGGCAGGGGTAGAGGGGAGAAAACAGTTGTATACTTAAATAGGCCAAGTGGCATCAACTGACCACAAGCACAGTCTGAACCAACATTAAGATGTGGCTATCAAACTAAAACAATACCAAACTGTATTATCAGAGACTTGGAAAAGGAAAGGGGAATCCAGTTCTATTCCGAAGAAGCTAGACCAGGCAACCCACACCCAAAATCAAGTGTCAAGGGCCCTACAATGGTGAAAATCATGTTATGAACAAAATGATTAAAGGGCGTGGTAAGGTTGGCCTAAGAACGAGACCAGGGGATAAAATAACCACCTGCAAGTCTGAGGGAGCATCACAACAAAACAAGAGGACATTCTGTGTTGCTCCTCATGAGTGAAGCCATACGAAATAAGTTTGGCTAAAGGTACAAAGCTTAATAATAATTAAGATGCCTTCTGAGCTATGAGCTCCCAGTCAATCTATCAGGGAAGATATTCAAGCAGAGCTTGCTTGACAACCTGGCTCAACACTTTAGTATCTATCTAAAGAGGTGGGAAATTACATTGATTTTGTGTTGTGGGTTTTTTTCCAATTCATCTTCCTTCTACATAGACTGACCTTATTTTCTGAACCCTAAACCAAACCTGTGGTCCTATCGAAGACTTTGTGTTGCTTCTGGATTTGAAAGACAGTCTAGTAGATATAGTGTTATTAAAATACTGAGTTTCTGAAAGATCTCAATGATTAAAATAATGGGGAAATACATGAAATTGGGACTTTCCTAGGAAAAGAAAAAGGTAAATTCACTCTAAGGCAGGCATTTTTCTCTCTCTGAGTAAACATATTTTAACAAAATAAGTGGAAACTTGGGTAAATTTCACCTTTTTTTTTCCTAGCACAAGAAGTTTTCTTAAACTATGGCCTCTTCCTCTGAAGGCTGAGTACCAAAATAAAACTACCTGTTTCAGTTCATTCAATAATCAAGAAGCCCTAGGAAACACTCCTGAAGCATAGGAAAATTCCAGGCCCTCCTACGGAAGCTATGCCAACCTTTCCCTTGTGATATCACTTCCACCCCTGTCAGGATGCTCCCATCTATACAGCTTCTTGAGGCTCCACACTATCCTGGTTCTTCAGCCTAGACCAGAGTGCCCCCTTACCAAGTCCCCACTTACTACGGTCCTTGCACCAAGAGATGGGTGGGTTAAAAAACTCCCACCACCACCCTTAGCCAAAGCTGGACTCTCTCCTTTGCCCATGGGAACCAATCAGACTGATTAAGGCTCTGCAATTCCAGATATCATGCATTGGGCTGGTATCCACAGTTTCTTATTAGATGCTATGTTCTTTTCAATAGACTATTTTGTTTCACGCTGACAGTCATTTTTCACCCTGCATGGCAGAATTTCAAAGCCAAGAATCCTGTATTACACAGTAAACAAATAAAATTAGACTCAAAATTGCCTTTTTTGATTTTGATATATTAATCAACTCTTCAGGAAAGCTTCTAAACATTTTCGATTAGATCAGGAACAGGCTGGCAACATTTTCCAACTTTAAAAAAAATCAGACTCAGTTAAAGGTTTGTTTTCTATTCCTCTGATACTCTATATTACATACTTGCAACTGTTTCTGTTTTAGGTTAGATTGATTAATAGCATCAGTTCCAAAATATCAGCATGTCCACAGGAAAAAAAAAGTATTTCCATCTGTGATCTTCATTAACCAAGGCAGATCTATCTATTTGGGTGTGTTGGCTGCTTCAGCTGCATCCCTGGGTCCCTGCATTATCTCTGAGACTACAGGCCTCATGGTTGTCATGAAATCAGGTGGTGCACTCTAGAGATACAAGGTAAATAAAGGATCAAATGAGCTAAGGAGAAAGAGAAGTCTTACCACCCTGAAGACCCATCCTCCCTCCTGTACTTTAAATCTAACTTGACTGGGCAGGAAAACTGGTATTTGAACTAACAATGAAAATATGCTTAAAAAAACAGAAAGTAAGGTGTGGTCAACAAGAATGTATTTTTAAAGTGTACTGAACAATCATATTCTTAATAGATTAGATGATGATAGTAGCTAAAGTGCTTGAATTATGTCTATTGTTCATGCAAACAGCTTACCATATATAGTAGAAACTGCACAAAAAACTTGTAAAACATGTAAGTTCTGAAATGTGAAAACAAACATGATCTATTATATAATTTGATGGGGCTGTAGTGTCACTACATTGGAGTTTCACTTCCCTCACTAAAATGAAATACAGAACTTGACAGCTTTCAGCACTTGAAGTTTCTCCTGGAGGATAGAAGGGCTGACCAAGCGATCACAGTTCTGCCCTGGGATTTTTCACACACACATACACACACACTCCACAGCTTTGTTAGTACTCTTTAATACACATGAGACACACTAAAATTTTCAAAAGGAGTTTATTATTTCACTTTGTGTAAAGGCATAAAAGCTGTCAAGCTTATAAGGTCCAGCCTCCCCCCTGTAGCAACATAAACCTCTTGGCCCTCACAGAGGAGCTAGTGATCCAACACGTCTGGGGCTATGGGCCTCATCCATGCCACTTTTGGGTCCTGTCATAGGATTTTCAAAAATCAGGGATGCCTCTACTCTCAGCATAATCTATATTTTAATTCTTTATATCATAAAGGGGAGAAGATTTCAAGATGTCAATAGACAGACTCATAAAAGGACCTCACACTCTTTTTATTTCCTATAAAATGTAATGCCAAATAATAGTTCAATATTATTCATATTGCTTCCAGCATTATGTCTAAAGAAAGAAGTATTTTATCATCCAAAGCTCGTACTGCTCAATTAGGAATTAAGAGAGTGGAAAGGAGTTTCATCTCTACAGAAAAGCGAGTTTCTGCAGGGACTGAGTTGGAGGAAGGTTTCCCAGCAAGTAGGCAGAGTCCTGGAAAAGGTATTACTTGTCTATGGGCAGAAATTAAAAACCCTATTAACTTTCAGTCCCACATTTGTTTTTGCCTTATATGGAACAGTAAACTACAAGTTCTCCCCAATATCTTTCTACAAACATACCTACTAAAAAGTGCTGGCAGGCAGGTGTTCTAAATTAATAGACATTAAATAAGTATTTCTTAAGTTATATGCAGATATTTCTTGTTTTCCTTCCCCATGTAGGTATATAGTAGCCTGTCTACCAAAATAAAAAGGAGTAGGGGTTTTGTTCTTTGATTAAAAATAGTGATCACAGTCTATTAGTCTGTCTATTACAAAGAGAAGAAGAAATCACTACACAGCAATACCCAAGGGCTCAGGCCTCACATGGGGACTTTTCTAAGGGCCTCTCTGAAGAAGCCCCATCTGTTCAGTTCACTCACAATTTGCTTTGCAAAATAACTGATAGAAATACCTCATTGCACCCTAATGCAGGTCCCTAATGGGACCAACCCATTGGCTAACCTCTTGAGGAAACCACAACACTCAAAGAAGAGTTATTCACATAACAAAGAACGGTACTATTCTGTCAGTAACTATACATGGTAAAGGTGTGTAAAGGAATGGTAGCCAAAATGGAGCAACTTATTCAGGAGTGAAATTAATTGAGGAAGATTTTCTGAAGATAGTAAGGCATCCCTATAGACTTGATCATTATCCAATAGCATTTATTTTATAAGGCTTCTATAAACTGTAAATCTGTGATTTACATGAATAAATTAACATCTATAGTAATCATCCAGCAGAAAAATTAAATATATCTGAAGTATGTCAAATTAATTTTTTGTTTCATTTATCACAACACTATCTCAATTCACAAATGTTCAGTCTTCTTAATCTACAGCTGCTATTGCATGATTCTGTGTTCATGACCTTTAAAAACAGAGGAAAGTTAATTCTAAGATAGCTAAATGAAGCATTTTTCTTACAAAAACAATATGTCAGCTCATAGAAGATGGCTGAGCTAATATAACAAACAGTCTACAACATTCCTTGCACTGACTGAGGTAATCCTCCATTCAGGTTGGCCTTCTTAAGTGTACTGCACCCCAGAACAATGGTACCCATAGAGCTTACAAAAAGAAAAAGGAACTGCAATGAAAATGGGACCCCTTTAGATAATTTTGTAATTTAATATTTACATGACTGTACCTAAAACGGTAATAGTATAAAGAAATGTCCCCAGTTAATATAAGTTTAAATACTTACAATTGTCAAAATAGCAGCCATTGGCAAGTGAAACCACAAGAGAAGAGGCCCACACTATGCCTGGTCCTACTGAGCACTTTTCAACCTTGAGCTTGTTCTGGCAACTAAAATCAAAGAATACAAAGAAATCAGAATTATAATTATATAATTTTACATTGTATCAACATATTGAAAATAGGGGAAGGTCAAGTAAAATTGGCTTAAATAATGACTTTTATCATATCACAAAACAAGAGGTCCAGAGGTAGAGTAGCTCCAGGGTAAGTCTACTTCACTGACATCAGATAGGACCTCAGTCCTTTCTATCTGTTCAGTCTATCAATAAAAGCATGTTGGCTTGTCCCCTGAGGCTGGTCCTCCTCAAGGCCCTGAGATGGCTTCTGCAATTTCAGACACCATAGAAATATGACAGCAGTCAAGGCAAAAGTGTTTCCTTCTATACATAAATTTTACCCAGAAGCACCCTACTTTCCAAAGACTCTCCCTCAGTTCTCATTGGCCAAAACTGTGTCACATACTCATCTCCAAATTAATCACTGGAAGGGTTAGAATTAGGATGTCTGGTTTAGACTACTCAAGATTTATCTCCCCTCCTCAAAGCTAAGGGGAACCTCAATTTCCTCTAACACACAAGGCTACCCAATATTTTTAAAAAATTAGGGTACCAATTGCAAGAAAATAAAACTACTGAGGATGACAATGGAGTAAGCAGCCTTAAGTGTCTGCCACATACCCCTAATAAGAATACACATGGCTCAATGATAGAGCTGACACTAACAGTTTAACTGGTGGACAGTACCTTATATCTAAGATTAGGCATTGTTGCTATAGCAGTATGTCTTCACAGAGAGCTGCAAAGACATAAATCTCTCTGTAAAAGGCAGTAAGTGATTATAATTGAAGAACAAATCATTGCTAAATCCATATCATCTACATGGATCCATAATAGGTATTTCCTCTTTTATTGAAAAATCAAGGGTTCCCTTTACTGGAATTTTTAGTTCTAATGAGTTCCAGTAACGGTATCACATTCCAGATGTGCATTTGTAATAAGTTTGTATTGGTTAGTTGGGCTTAATTTACCTAATGAGCCCAAAAAAATGATAAATTGTTTATGCAAATTAAGAATTGTAGTTGTATTTAAAAGTAATTTATTATATAATGTACTACCTGAATATACTCACACATACATTATTTAATTTTTCATTTCATCCCAAATTCTGCATTTATACATGGCCATCTTTCACTTTGAAAAATGATTAAGATAATACTTGCTAAATATATTTTCTAAAGTATTTAATCAATTCTAATGAGAAATAATGTTATTGAACTATTTCATAATTTTTAAGGGATATCAGGAGAGACAATGTACAACTACAGAACAATCAGCTGAGAGGGAGGGCATGCATTCTAATTCTAATAGCATTAATTTGGTGCTCACTGTGTGCCAGGCACTTTTGGTGCTTCACTGTGTGAAGTGTTTAACTCATATTCATTTATTTTATCTTTGTAGTGGCCCTGCAAACTATATGCTATGATTATTCCATTTTCTGATATAGAAACTGAAGCACAGAGTGGTGATATAATTTGTACAAAGTCACACAGCTGGTAAAAGGCAGGGGCAGGATTCAAACATAGACTATGGGACTTCATAGCCAAAGCACTTAAACATAGTAAAATTGCCACTAGTTCCTAAACCTTATTGGAGACACAGTTTCCTAATAAAGGCTGAGTAGAGATCTTTAAGGAAATGTCCAGTCTTAACACTTAAAATGTCTTTAAAGCCATGACCTTACAGACATCCTCTGCCAATTGGTTTATACTAAGGTTGCATTTATCACACAAACAAAACACCAATGTCTGGACACTTACTGTTTAGTAACAATAAACACAAGATGACAAGAGGCACTCTGGTGTGCTGCAACAATTTTTAAAACATGCGATACCTGACTGTTCAGTTAGGGGCACTGACCTCTTTCCCTTAGACTGTCAAATAAAAATAATGACTACAGCAACACAACAATAGCTCTCTGGTGTGAATGAATCAAAATTATACCTATGTTTTGTTGGATCAGCAAAAATTTTATTTTTTGACATGCCACAGAACTTCAGTAATTAGTTTATGTGTGCCATTAGATGAAAAAGGTTGAAAGTCACTGATCTAGAGAAAGAAATAACTAAAAAGTCAACCATGGTATACAAGTCGCAGGAAAAATACATCTCCTTGGAGGAATAAGGTTGCAGTTTATCAGACCAAAATTCATGAATTGCCCCAGACACTGGTGTGAAACCTGCCTTGAGGGCAGGCTACAGAACTAAGTTCCCCACAATATGGTTTCTGAATTAATACAAGATGCTCCAAAGACTTTGACATTTCCTGATAAAGCGATGGAAAATTCTTCCCTCTTCAGAGCAAACTGTATCTCCTTTGTCAGGACCTCCTAAAGGAGCTAGAATTGAATTATTTTAAACCATCTCACCAAACATAATTATGAATACTTATAAGATTCCTCAAAATATCTTCTTTGGGATATCCAGGCACAGAGACAAAGAGAAACAAAGTAGAGGTCTACATTTGCAGGAGAATTAATATTATTTCTATTTCTCCAAACACTGGGAACTACCCATTAGAGTGGCCTACCATTCAGCTTGTCTGAAGGGTAAAATTTTAAATCTAAATAACTTAAGTCTCAAATCTTATTTTAATAATATAAGAAGGCTTGGACAGTATTTTCCTGTGGTCCATAGAACAGTCTGTACTTGCTATACTTTTTCACTGTATGTAAAGAGGGATATCAAGTGGTCTAAGTTCTGGAAGACTCTGTCTCATCAGTTGTATTTTTTTCAGCCCATGACCCCTGATGGGATGACCCCTGATGGGATGGCTACAGGAATAGAGTACAAAGGATAGAAAACTTCAAACTACTCATCTTCTTAAATAATCCCTTGAATAATTTCAACAAACTTTTGTAAGGATCTATTTTCTTTGGTTTAGAGACAGTTTTCTTTTGGGTACACAGTAATATCTCAATTATCTCCAATAGTTAAGGGATATAATAATGTTTTGAACAAAAAATAATTTATGTGGAAGGAAAGCTGTGGGACTGGGTCAAAAAGGTAAAGGAATTAAAGGAAAAAAAAACTCAGCCACAAAAAAACAGTGTGGTGATTACCAGAGGGAAAAAAGGTTGGGAGGAGGTAGAAAAGAATGTAGCAGGGATAAATGGTGATGGAAGGCTTGATTTGGGGTGGTGAACACACAATACAATATATAGATGTTCTATTATAGAATTGTACACCTGAAACCTAAATAAATTTTTTAAACAATGTCACCACAATAAATTCAATAAAAATAAAATAAAATTTAAAAAATACTAATTTATGTATCATATTATATGTTTGTAGATATTATGTATGTATGTAGGCATGTTGTTTTATAGACTAATTTGCTTTTATATTGCATTCTTTTTATATTAAATAGTAAATTTAACTTGTTATTCCTGAACAAAAAAGTGACAAAAAAAGTTCAAATAAATTTGCTATGGTATGCAAGGGTTATTTTATAACAACTTTTTATTCCCAGTCAGGGAGTAAAAATGCTTATTCAACATGCTTAGGTTGCAGTTTGGTCTCCAGTTGGGGAGCATACTGAAGGCAACCAGTTGATGTTTCTCTGTGGCATTAATGTTTCTCTCCCCTCTTTCTCTCTCCCTTCCCCTCTCTCTAAAATCAATAAGCATGTCCTTAGGTGAAGATTAAAACAAAAAGTTAGTTACAGCTTGTTTACATCTATGATTTGAAATGTATTCCATATAAAAGTGCTGGGCACTTTTATTCCCATACACTTGTGATCTTTGTTCTATATTTATGAATAGATAAATTAAGAAGAGCTTTATGAAATTTTATATGAAGAAAGAAAGGTTAGGCAGCTGGAAAACTGTACAGAAAGCCACTAATAACAAGAACCATCTGCCTTTTTGTAAATATTTCTTAAATCAGAAAATCATGAACTTCTTTGGGGGTTGTTTCTCCCCTTAGCTCCTTACCCCAGTCAGATTCTACAGAGTAAGGAGAAAATTAGAGAAATTATTACTCTGCCTTGCCTGACCCATTGAGTTTATAGTAAAGTAGTTAAGGCTAATAACAAAATTAATCAATAGCAAAGTCAAGAAAATATGAACCAAAATAACAAAATGCATTCTGTAACAGCAACACCTTCAGAATCAAGGGAAGTGAAAGCATCATGAATTGGTTAAAGCCTGGGTAGGAGAGTCTCAGCACCTCAGTTCTTAGCCTGGTCAGGCTCTTCCAAACCAGGCTCAGTTCCTAGCCTCGTCACACAAGTTACTTAACTACTCTAGGTCACGTTTCTTCACCTGTGAAGCGGGACTCAAAGGGTTATGATAAGAAACAAGCCATCAGATTGAGAGCACTTGTCAAAGTGCTTGGCATGTATGCAAGCAAGTTGTTGCTAATCTAATTAACTGAGGAATAAGATTATCCAACTGAAGCACAAAATTTGAACGGAACGTTTTGATCTGAGAATGTCTTTACTTTCACATGTTAACATAATTTATTTAAGCTCTTTCTTTCATGAATTCCTTTTTGGAAATTTAATTCCAGAAGTAATATGCATATTTTTTTAAATAAAAAAATGCTGAATAAGTTAAAAATGAGAGTCCTTTCCACATCCCAAATACCAACTGTGATTATTCTTACTTTAAAAATAACAACTATTACCCTGGCTGGTGTAGCTCAGTAGATTCAATGCAGGCCTATGAACCCAATGGTCGCTGGTTCAATTCCCAATCAGGGCACATGCCTGGGTTGTGGGTTGGGTCCCCACTGAAGGGCCTGTGAGAGGCAACCACACATTAATGTTTCTCTTCCTCTTTCCTTCCCTTCCCCTCTCTCTAAAAATAAATAAATAAAATTATTAAAAAATAAAAATAACAACTATTTTTGGTTGGGTATATGTTTCTAATCCTTCTACATGTTTAACAAAAACAGATGTGGTTATTTATAATATTTAAAATAGGACTTTAACCATGTTATAAAAATTCTATTAATTATTTTTTTTCATTTATCAATATATCTTGGATAT